TCATCCCCTATAAGATGATTCAAATGTCACACCATCCTTTATAACGTATTTATTGTAGTTTCCTTCCCTGCACTTAATACTGTATGAAACAGTTTCTTCCATATCCTTCCAGATCAAGCAGCCATACAATGAAAAAGATAGAGATTATTTATGGAGGAGGAGGATAATCAAAATTCTCTCCTCCCTTTTTCCTAAAGTGCAGCCACCTCCCACTGGTGCCTTGCAGATGCATTGAGTTACATTTCCCATCATATGCAGGGGATAATGGGATTGAAGCCCAACACTCTGGGTGACCCATGTTAGAAAAGACATTTTTGACCCTGCTGGAGTGACTAATATATACTGTCTTGTATTTTATGGACAAAATGTTCGGGAGAGAATGGGAGAAGCAGCAACCAAGGAAACATCTACTTTGGGTTCTCACTCTTTTCTTTTCATCCCTTTTCTTCTAGCTCCCATTGCCATGGCAACTGTTTCTAGCACATGCTCTTGGCCACTTTTTCTAGTAACTGTAGCTATGTAGAGTTTTATATTTTATACATATCATTTGAAGAGGTCAAGCAAACATGCTTTTAAAAAATGCCTCAAATTTATGTATACAGGCCAAAGCCTTCACAGTTAACAATTCGACTGTTTGCAATGCTAATTAATCCCGAAAGCATCACCAGGCTTCCATCTGGGCCTGCCCTGACATTAAGCAGCAAAACAGGCCTCCACCTCAGCCCCCCTCCGTTCCCCCCTGAGCCACAGCAGCACTCACGGTTGTAAATGTGTGCCACAGAGAGACATGCACACACCCACAGCATGCTCCATACCAAATGGCTACACAATATTCTATTTTCATAAATTATCATAATCTATACATGCTGGAATACATCCCTCTTTCCTTCACAGGATTGTTGAGCCCCTGGGAGAGAAAAAAAGCTTGGCTTTGGATAATCGTGCAGAACCCCCCCACCCCACCCCCCAAAAAAACCAATAAACCTGCAAGAAAGACAAAAGTAACTATCGGTTGGACCAGAACAGCCCAGTCCAGTGCCTCTTTCCCAAAGGCATTGGACTACAGTCCCCTTAATCTTTGGCCAGTTTGTCCATGGATGCTGGGAGCTGTTATTCAATTCACTGACTAGTTTCTAATAGCATGCTAAATCTAAGCTAACAAGACAAAATGGCTGGATCCACATTACGTGCTGCACCCAAACAAACACACCACACCATGGCTTACTGGAAGGGGCTCGTGCATATATCATGCCCAGACAGTCATTGGGTTTCCACAATGCAATACAGTGAAGCCAGCTAGCCAACTCAATTGTAGCTTACCCTACAATTGTGCAGAATGAACCCTGCAGAAGATGCCTATATTGGAGAATAGTCTAAATTTATCAGTAGTCTGTTCCTAAATAACCACTTCCTTCTTTTATCAGCAGTCCAATTCTATTACCTCCTTTTTCATCACTCTATGTAAAAAACTTCACTCTGTCCCACTGTAAAACAATTGCTTTTAAGTAGCGTGTATGATCCCCATCTTTCACTTCCACATAACTTTATAGGATTCTGATTCAAAGATGCTCCACCTTGCCTTTCCATTTATATTAGTTTCCTGTAGGGGATTCTTGCTCTTCCTCTTAAGTGGTATCCCACAGAAGTGTCCCAAGCATTCCAATTTCCTAGCCAAGCAGTGACCAAGCCCAGACCTGCTTAGTTTCAGCCAGGAATTAGCACTGCAAGCCCTCGATCCATGTTTAAGGAACACATTCACCCTGTTGTTCTCAAGAGGCTCTTCTTTTGTGTTTGGGGTTCTGCTGCTGATTATGGCAGCCACACAAGACAGATGCAAGAGGAGCAATCACTCATCTTTCATATGGACAAGTTTATGTTATTAACATTGACAAATGGACTAAAAGGAAAAGAAGTCTCCAGATCAGCCTTCCTCGTTTTTAAGAAGAGATTGGACAAGCATTGCCTGAAATGTACAGAGTTTCCTGCTTGAACAGGAGGTTGGACTAGAAGACCTCCAGGGTCCTGTCCAACTCTGTTATTGTGGCTATTCTGCACTGTTAACTCCCAGAATTCTCAACAACCACCATATTAGATTGAGCTTGTGGGAGGTTCTCATATCTAGAGAGCAGCTGGCTTGGGAAAACCTACTTCAGATGAATATTTTGCTACAGGGCCCTTCCCAGAGAGTTTAGAAAGATCTTTCTGTGAATTCCATAAATCCTTGGATCCATATTTATTTCCAAGTCCCACCATTAATGTAAGTTCTTCCCAACCCAAACATACCTTTCAATCTTTGCAAACTAAGGAAGACACATATGTACACAAGCTGCATTCATACATTACATACTTGAATAATGTCAGATTCATTTGGTGTTGTGATTTTGTGTTTTAGATTGTTGTTTGAATCCAACATGTTTGGTCATTGTACTTTACAGTTCAATATGTTGTGCAAATTTGGAAAATGGCTTAATTTGAATAAATATTAGAAGTTTCTGGCACAAATTTGTCAGTGCAATGTAGCCATTCCCTTCAAATCCATTATAGCAACATCCCACCAAAAATCTTTCCACAAAGTAGACCAATGTTTCTCAACCTTGGCAACTTGAAGAGGGGAATTTTGGGATTTGGGATTTGATATCTATACAACTTCAAGTTATCAAACTTGAGAAACACTAAATTAGACTAAAGTTAATGTGATAACAACATAAAGTTGATTAACTTTTAAGTTATCCCAATTCTCTTTGGGATTTTTTTTTTAATTGTAAAACATTAGCATGGCACATCACCTAACCTCTCAAATGGTATCAAATGATACTCTGAAAAGGTGCCAGGATTGCAAATCATTGTTTTCACAGCCATGCTAGTACGGTTTTGTGTAGTCAGATTAGCCTGTAGCTATGCTGATTCTCATTTCTGGGAGTTGCAATCCCAACATATCCAGAGAATACCAAACTGGAGAAGGCTGCTGATACACAAAGAAAGCTTCATTGCATGTAAATGTGCAATCATTTCAAATTGCAGGTGTAGGCTTGCATAATTAAATGCCTCTCCATTTAAGACCCTGCATCCAGAAAAGAACATATTAGGGTGAAAAGTTGTGGTTAACTTTCTCTGTTACTCAGAAGTTGAATTTACACAATACATTTGATGTTATCTAGATGTTATCTTTAATTCATGTTAACCTCAGTCAGTTACCTAATTAGTTTGTGGATTAGCATGGGAAAATCCAGCTTCTTTGATGGAATGTATGTTACACTGTATTGTGTGAAGCCAGAAATGGGTTAATTCAGTAATCAGGTTAAGCATGTGCAGGTTAATGCAGCCTGCTTGCTTGCATGGAAGAACATTCAGTCATGTGTTTTCCCATCTGCAGTATTAAGTGATAGGATCCAGGCACAGCTTTAGCCCTTCATCAGCTGTGAATTGGGTCCTATGAAATTTCATGTTAATTACCTATAATACACAATAACTAGAAAAATGAAAATAATTACAAGGAAAAGGTGAAATGAAGAAAGTGTGGGAGAAAAACCAACAGACAAGGATTCAGAGTTAGACAGACAAACAGCCAATAAAGTGAAAGGAGTTTTGGCATTGCTTTTTTTTTAAAATTCTGGCAAATATTCAAGGCAGCTAGCAAAATTTGAAAATTGGAAATTTTTAATAGGTAGTGTATGAAAAATGGGGGTTGGCTAGTTTAAAAATAGCTGCTCTTATGACCTCTATTTTTCAAAATATTGGGATATGGTAAAATGCCAATCAAGTGCTCAAGTAGAGTCCAGAAGCCTTGAATTAGCCAAATCCAAAGAGTGGAAGTGAGTTATTAAAGGCATTGAATTAAGTTAGATCTGGAGAAGGGTAAAAATTGGCAATATCAATCCTTACATGAGAAAAAAATGGAGGTTCTGGGTAAATGGAGAAAAAAGAAACTCCAAAATTCATAAAGGATTAAGAGACTTTAGCTCATGGAAGATGAATCAATGGACATTTCTGATAGCTTCATATCTACTTTCCCAACTTTGTATCTTCTCTCATCATCTTATAACCATACTAATTGGGAGGGATCAGAATTAAATATCTGGGGGATATATATATATATATCCAAGTTCCACAATGGGGATAGGGACGACGAGATAGATACTTCCCTGAACTTACTTTTTGGTATATTTTTTCATGGGACCTAACAATCTCAGGATGATTTCACTGAAAACATCCACAGCTTCCAGAATGTCATTGGGATCCAAGCAGGAGAGGGTTCTGACTCCTGGAGTGAGATTTAGACAGTGGCCACTGGCAGACAGGCAATAAGGGAAGACTTGTAGTAAGACAGGAAGCAGCCAGCCCAGAGATGCTTGTTGGAACCAGGCCTAGATAGGGATATATGGGGCTCCTCAAGAGGAATTCGCCTCCTGTTGAGGGGGTGTGGTATCAGACCTGGGTATTAAGCTCAGCTTGATGGGAAAGCAACGTGTGTTGCTATGGGAGCAAGCAATGAAGGGGAGGGGGCTGAGCCAGTGGAGAGCTCTGTAGAGGACATAGTGGCTGAATGCTTGCTAGGAAGGTTTTTGGGGTGGGGAAAATTAAGTGGAAAATAGTGGATTGGGGATATTTGCCTGCAGCATCAGGAAGGACAGAAGGGGGTTGGGTTGCCAACTATGGGGGGAGGGGGAGAAGGAGGAGGTAGAAGAGCAGCATCTTTCAGCACTGAGCAGGGTATAGATGGTGCAGTTTCCATAGCAACTTCCATCCATCATCCTACTTCTCCATTCCTATTAATTCCAGCCTGCCCTATTCCCCACTCCAAAAAAATCACTGTCCCAGTCTAACCTTTTCAACTCCCTACTTCACCCATATTCTTTCACGATAAGGCATTCATCCTGCTGTATGTACCGTTTCTCATCCCTTTGCTGGGCTGGATCATGACCCTTTCCACCCTCCCCCCCCAAAAAAAAACAAAAAACCACCCCAACCATCTAACCTCACCCCTTCGTCCCCACACTCACCAAAGTGGGGGGCGTCGCGGAGACAGCATCCCCTGCTCCCCCTCTTTTCCTGATAAGATTGGCGAAGACCGCTGTACCCTCCTCCGCGTGCCCAGTTGGGGGGCAGAGAGGGGCGAGGCTGCGGGCTCTCCCGGTCCCCTTAATGCTTGAGCTCCATAGAATCCCGGAGCAGACCCAACTGGAGCCTCGCCAAAGCCCTCGGGAGTGGGCGATGGAGAAGGGGGGAAGCAAGCGAAGTGGAGACCTGGAAGAACCCACTGGTCCTGGCGGCTCCGACCCGACCCGGCTGCCAAGGAAGAAGCCGACACAAGCAGGCAACCAACCAACGACGTCGGGAGCGCTGCAGCAAAAGCGCTCCTGCGAGCAGCAGAGACGGGAGTGGAATACTAATAGTGGAGGGGGGCGGGGGGGGAGGAAGCGGGGAGGGGGAGGAGAGGGGAGGAGGGCAAAGCAGGCGGGGCGAGAGCGCCTGAGCCAAGAAGGAAAGAGAGGCATCCAGAGCGAGATAGCGCTCCCCGAAGGGGAAATGGGCGCAAAGACGCAGCCGGAGAGAGGAGATGGCATTTGGGGAGGATTTCTGGGTGGGCCGGAAGGGGAAAAAGTCTGGTAAGTGCTGGTGAGAATCTAGAAGCCGGTTTCCTCCTTCCTGATTGGCTTTATTCCCCAAAAGAGAGAGCTTGCTGGCCTCTTCATTGGAGACAATGGTGAAAATCTAAGGGCTCCCTCCAGCCGAGATTATGGGGCCCAGGTCTCTTCGTGTCAGCACCCTCTGTAAATGCAGATTGAAAAAGTGAACTGACTGGCTGGCACCTTTTGGGCTAGGTTGGCCTCTCCAAAAAAATGTGGCTTTGTTAAGAGTCCTTTGCTCTCATCTCTTTCACTTCTCCGGGGATTAACTCGATAATAACCTGTAACTAAATACGAAGAATATAAGTAGAGTCAGAACCCAGGGAAAAGACTCTCGGGGTCTGCAGGGTCTGGCCATTGCTTGACCTTAGCAGCTTCAGTGAAAATGAGAACTGAAGTGAGAACTAAAGAAGCTTCTTGGATGAGAAGCGAAACATTTTCAAGGGGGGAAAAAAATTAAAAAGAGGGAAAAAGCCAAGAAAGTCCAGTTGCCTTTTGAAAAGTATCTTTGAGACAACTATGACATGGATGATTGAGAATCTCCATAGACCTTCAATGAAAATGTATGATACCTAGAAAGAACTATGTGATAGTGGCGAATATCCGTAGCTCGGGTGTAGGATGAGAGTAGGGATTCCTTCTCTGAGTTTGTGGGTTGGTTATCTAGCCTCGTAATGAAACGTTTGGAAACCAACCCACAACCTTAGAGAATGAACCTCCACCCTCATCTGGAAAGAAATGCCACTTTCTGTAGCTTTCATTGTATTGTAGATTTGCCATCACCATCCTCGCAATCATCTCTGCCAACCGCTGTTATTTCTCATGAGTTGTTGCTGCTGTCAGAAAATGTAATAGCTTTACATTTTATATTATATGCTTTACAAACCAACTAAATCAAATCAGAGAATACCACCATCACAAAAAGAACTTCCTGGAAAATTTCACCACCCCTTGCAATTAGGTTATATTGTTATGAAGCTTCTTCCTTCTATAATCAGAATGATTAAGGTTTCCCATTAAATCTATTCCAAAGAGTTTTCAAAGAAAACTCTTTGGAGTTTCCAAAGTACTGAAAGAGAAAAGCTCTGCAGTGAGAAGAGCAAGGCTTGTTTGTAAGAAAAAAACAGGATGACAAAGAAAAGAGTATGACGATATCATAAAGCAGCTGAAGCTACTACCTCCAATGTAGCAGCATCCAATGCCACTGCTTGCTTTGTTGCTGAAAGACTTGGAAAAACAATGAAAGAAAAAACTGAAATAAATTGTTCTGAGAAAGTTGGCTCAAGGCTGAATCACAATATATCTGTCAAGACAGCAGTATTGTACTGTACCAACTTATTTGTGAGTGAATCAGTGGGAATTCAATGGCCATGTTCACGCTACACACTTGACCATTCACTTGCTCCCTGGCTAAATTTGTACCATTGTGTGTAGCAGGATAAGATCACTGTTGTGAAGACACCATGCCCTGACAGCTCCCAACTTCAAAAAGCTAACATTAGCATCACTGTAGAGGGAATTGGAGGTGGGGGTGGGATTGCTTCCTGCTGCTTTTTGTCCCTCATCCAAACTCATGTGGCCAGGAGATGGGGAAGGAAATGGAAGTAAAAGTGAAACATATACTTGATGCCTAGAGATGTTGTTTGGGAATATTGGGAGATGAAGTCCATATATCTTAAAGTTGCCATGTTCGAAAAACACTGTTATAGAATATAACTTTGGGGCTCTTATTTGTTTTATTCAGTGATTTCATTAAAGGTGAAAAGCCCATATGCTGATGAGACCACCAGATCATGACCCCTTGTCAAAATGATGTGGCCAATCCTAACTTTTTCAGAATGTTTGTATGTTTAATGATTAACAGTTCCTACCCCACAACAGAGTGGTCTTTGGTAATCATAACCCTTAATAATATCAAACATCTGACTGCCTTTTTTTAATTTTTGAAAACCTGTTTGATTTCCCCTCTCCCAGGGGTTTTTATATCTATTCCTTAACTTAGTATAGTAAGCACCTCCTATTTTTGTATGTTTTTGAAATAGAGTGATCCTCTGTGTGTGTGAGAGAGAGATTTGCTTTCCAGTGTAGAAGAATTTAAGTCATTTTAATATCAGTAAATGTTTTAAGCAAAGAGATGTTGAGTACATATCTGAAGATAGTCATCCCTATTATTCTGAGCATGTGCAGAGTGTATTCTGCAAGATAAATGCTTGTCACACTCCCCCAGTTATATGTCCAAGTACATCTGTTACAGAAGCAGGGGTCCTTTTTTCAAAAAGCACAGAGGGCTCAAGTATTTGAGGCTAAATAGTGCCTGGAACCATCTAAGTAAAGAAAAGGGGAAAAAATCTTGCCAAACTGCAACTGCTGATTCTATAACCCTGAAAGTAATAACAAGACAAAATAATAATATGTCTTTGATTGTAAAGACAATATCCCAATTTTATTCTATCCCTCCACATTTTTTTCTAAAACTCAGAGATCTCAACATTGTTGCTGTTTTTGAAAGCAATCATCATATGAATCCTGCATCATCTGACAGGATAGCTGAAAACGCAAAACAACAGTGACACCTCCAATGATGGAGCACCCATGATTTCTGGAGGCAAGCTATTCCACTGGTTAATTGTCCTCACTGTTAGGAAGTTTCTTCTTAATTACAGATTGCTTCTCTCTTTGATTAGTTTCCAACCATTGTTTCTTGTCCTGCCCTCCGATGCTTTGGAGAATAATTTGACCTCCTGTTCTTTGTGGCAGCTCCTCAAGTACTGGAATACTGCTATCACGTTGCCCCTAATTTTTCTTTTCTTTAGATTAGCCAAACCCAAATGCTGCAGCCATTCTTCATATGTTTTAGTCTCCAGGCCTTTGGTCATCTTAGTTGTTCTTCTCTGAACTTTTTCCAAAGTCTTAACATCTCTTTTGTAGAATAGTGACCAAAATTGGTTGCAGTATTCCAGATGTGGTCTTACTAGGGTTTTATAAAATGGTACTAATACAATAATAAAGGATGCAAATAAGGGATCAATAAATTCATCGTTAATGTGATGCTATAGAATGTTATTTGCTATGGAACACTATTTGAGCTGTATGTTTATGTCATATCCACGTACATTGTGATGCATAATATGATACATAATCTTTGGGATTATTTTTCTGAGTTACACTGGAACAAATGATTTTGTACTACTCAGGTAAGATATGGGTGGATTGAACCACTCGCCTCCTCTTTACTTAGGAGACATCTGGCTATTGCATACGCTGATGCATTTCTGAATCATAGTAAGAATGTATTTCAGAACAATGTGGAGGTTTTGTGCAATGATAATTTACAGTTACTGGTCATCACTATTAAGAATATAGAAGAGGCTGGCCATAGGAAGTTAAACATAATGCTGCTCAGGTGATATCCTCAAAGGAAAAAAAGATAGCATTTCATAGATTTCAACAATCAGGATGAATTTCAGTATTTTTCAGGTGTCTATTGTAGTTCGAACGCACGTAAAAAAGTCAAGTAGAAAAATAGGGACCACCTTTGGTCCGTTCCATGCGCCTTTGATATTTATGCTGGCCACATGACCATGGAGACATTTTCGAACAGCACTGGCTCTTCGGCTTTGAAACAGAGATGAGCACCAACCCCTAGAGTAGGGAACGACTAGCACATATGTGCGAGGGGAACCTTTACCTTTTTATTATATTTGCTGGATTGCAGAGTATTCATGAAACAAGATGAAGTATGTGCTAGAGCCACATACTTCTACTCCAGAGGGCGTATTTCCATAGACATAATAATTAGCCTTTTACAAGTAAATATTTTAAAAGTACATGTATTGGAGAAGACTAAGTAGAGCCTGAGGATGGAGTCAAGAGAGGAATTAACCTGAAGTCATTATGTTCCCACAAGTGATCCAAGTCCAGCCCCCTTCCACCCCTTGAATTCTCTACTACTTATTCTTATCTAGCACAATTTAGTGCTGACAGTTAGTTTACTAGATTCTTATGTATAGGCATGAGCAATAAATCAGTTTAACTGAAACTTAACATGTAGTCCTGGTTCTTTGTGCCTGACACAAAGTGTAACAATTAGAAGATTTGTATTGCGAATAGGGGCACTTTATTATTATAGAGAGGCCCCAACAAGAAAAAAAAATGGTGCTTGAATTGCTACATCACTTCTATGGAGTCAAAAACATCAAGAAGTTCCTAGGTGAGTTTTGTGAACTCTGTCATATGCTCCATCTCCATCAATTTTGCCATAATGGCCAATAATAATGACTCACATATCCAAGGAAAGACTGTCATAAAGTTACTATGGGGAGAATGAAATATATTAAGTTCAAATTGCTTTCACATTCTATGCCTGCCTCCAAAGACATATATGATTGGAATGAATCATATGAAAACTTATCCTAAGATAAACATATGACACATGTAAAACATGCAAGCAACATTTCAAAAATACTGAAATCATGGAAGGATATTTATGTTTTTAGAAACCACAAGAAAAAGTATGTGTAAGAAACATTGCTAATAACTTTGAATGTTCTCAAGAAATAGTCAGGAAAGTGTCCACATACCAAATTATAACTATGCCATGTATTCTGAAGGTAAAGGATGACAGTGTCATAATGGAATGGGAATAACAGCGTGATGTGAAAATAGTTACAAGTCCAAAGTTTACAGGATATGCTTTCATTCAGCACAGTTACAGGAGATTATGTTGGATATCTGGTGCT